TGATTGTTTTCTGTACGTAGGCTCCTCTAGTGTAAAATGCCACGGAATCCATCTAGTATTGGGGCGTGGTTTTCGATTGTTATGATTTATACAGAATTTGTAGCTTGTAAGTTTACCTTTGGGTTCAGTTCTGTAGGCACATTGATTTGCTTAGATGATTAATAAAACAAGTTGTATAGTATTGTGTTCCTAATAGCAATGAGCTCTGTTTGAATAAAGTTGTACCTTACTTCAAAATTACAGGTGAATTGTAACACCCGAAATTTTTTTTTTATTTTTATTATTATTACATTATTTTGTTTTATTTTAATTTATTCTATATAAATATAATTTAGTATTAATAGAATTTAATTTAATTTAATAGAAATAATAATAATAATAATAAAAATGGTAAAAATTATTTAAAAATTTAATTGAAAATAATTTTAATAAAATTTGAGTTTTAGGGGTATTTTTAAAGAAAATTCAGAAATAAGGGGTCAAAACGCAATTTAGAAAAGTTGTGTCACGTCAGCTGCCCGGTCAGCAGTCCTGGCCAACCAGGACGCGCCAGGTAGCAGAGACGCTGAAGCAGGAGGGAGCCACGTGGGCGATCCGTGTGCGTGCGATCAAACAGCTGAGATCTGTTCCCACGCGCACGGATGTCCCAAATCAAAAACGCGCACAGATGGCCTGGATTGTATCGCGCACGGACGGCCCAGATTGAATCGCGATGAACGGCCCATATTCATTCCCTATTTAATTGCAATCGAACGGCCCAGATTAAAAGCGATAGACGGCTCAGATCAAAAACGGATGGGTATAAATAACATCATCCGCACCCAAACCCTAACCCTAGCCGCCAGAGCCCCTCGCTGGAGAAGACAGCTCAACCGTCGGGGAGCCGACCGCCGCCATACCGGAGTAATTTTCGGCCGCCAAACGAGGTAAAAATTCTACCATTTACTCAGAATTTGATTCTAAATCCATCTATGGCCAAATCGGAGCAAAAGCACTGGCCAATTGGCCGGAAAACGTCGCCGAAGCTCAGCGGCGCCGCCACGGGGTGTCTCAGTTTTTGCCTCCGATGAGGCCCTTCTCGATTCCCGTTCGATGTGATTTTTCTACCGTTGTGATCACCGTTTCCTCCTCTACAAGTTGACTGGAGCAAAACACCCAACCGCGATGTGAGCCGAAGGAGCCGCTGCACTAGAGAGCCCCACCGCCGGTGAGTTTCTATTTTTCACTTTTTTCGGCCCACCGAGGGTCTTAGGTGTGTTTTCTTACTGGAACCGATGCAAGTTTGGCTAAATTCGATCGAAAACGGCCGAAAACAGCCAACCTGAGGCGGATCGCCGCCATGAGCGACAGCGCCGTCGCCGAAGCACGGCGAAGCTGCCGTGTTGGAATTCCAAAATTAGTTGAGTAGGCCCTGGGTCTAATTTTTTGGGTTATTTGGGACATGTGTAGGTATCGTAAGTGCGTCTCAATTCCTAATGAAAAATTCAGGAAACCCAAGGACCGCCCATAGGCGCAGTGAAAATCTAGTTTTCGACATCAAATCAAGTAAGAACCCATCACCCTATTTCCTATTATGGAATTAAAGTTCGAATAAATGGTAATACTGTATTTTTTGCAAATTAATAAATATGCATAATTAATTAAGATTGCTAATGGAGCTTGAAATCGGATATTATTTCCTGTCGATTCCTGCTTAATTTATTTTATAGTTTAAATGCATTATGGTATCTGGTTTATCTATTCTATGGTTTTAAATGCATGAATCACTGCTTACTTCACTACTGTTTAATTTTGGGAATCTAAGATATGCTTGCTTCGTTGGATGCACGTTACTTGTTTATGTATTTATGTTTGAGTTGGTAACGGAGACTAAGGACAAATAGGAATGGGATATGATTTGATAAATGGATAACATGACAGCCTCACTAGATATCCTGGTAGATAGTGGATGGACCGGGTTCATAGAAAACTCTACCGTGAACGTTATCTCATACCGGACAGGGTATGCAGACTTGGTCATTTGGCGCCAATACCGGACGGGGTATGGGGACGACCCGCTTCACCTTAATACTGGATGGGGTATTAAGGTTTATTGTTTGGCACTCATACCGGACGAGGTATGGGGACGACCCTAGAATTAAGTTGTTAAGGGGAATGGTTCACGTGTAGCGGGGACCCCTATGGATCCTCATAGATACTACTAGACTGATAAAAAATGGCAATTGTTGTTTGATGATTTGAATATAAAAGTATGATATGTGCTATGTTACAGATTATATATGAATTCATGATATTTATAATATTGTTGTTTCCATAGGTTGTTTTTATAAATCTCACTGCGGTAAGTAGACGGTAAATGGTTTGTTTATTGATAAATAAATTTGTTTAAAATTTGTACTTCATTGGTTGTTTTCAGTTTTTCTACCAACCTTTACTTCTGTAATTGTGATATAGTGTAATATCCTTACTAGACTAGTGTAACTCATTCTTTATTTAACCATTTTAGGTCAAGAGGATCTGGTTCCCTAGCCCGATCCACAAGAAGACGGCGAGTAAATACTAGATACTTTATAGTTTTCTTTATTTTCTCCATTTGTTGTATTTCTTTTAGAGAAATTATTCCGTGATATTGTTTAGTACTTTTAAGTTATTGTGTAAGGGATATTAACATTAATCTTTTATTTCGCTTCCGCACTCAGATTATTATATGTATTTTCCTTTTGAATTTTTAGGATCGTCACATAAACGACTAGAATTTCAAAATATGCTGGGTTTTAAAACCCAAAATGTCAATAAGCATAAAGTTTCGGTTTTAATATTAGTAAACATAGCATGAGATTAAAATTTGAGTCATTTGGGGGCAAGAGGAAGATGTTTTTATTATTTATTCATATTTCAAGAAATTAAATATATGAGTCAATTTAATTTCACATTATATATTTAAATACTTGAATAAAGTTAAGAAATAAACTAAGAACAAGTTTAAGATTTAATATAAAAGTATGAAATTAAAAGAAAAAGATTTATTATCTAAACGCGGAAGTAAATAATAAAATTAGAGTTTACATTCTTTACATAGTAAATTAGAATGTTCAATTGAGCTGCTGGAATATCCCTTCTACATTGGTTCATAAAGAGACAAACGATAGTTAAAAACAAATAAATAAATATTTTAGGGATTAACCTCCACTAGCGCTTGAAAAGAGTTTGGGAGGTGAACTACTCACAACTCTCTTACTGATCGGGATCTGAATCTTGATCTTTTTGATATAAAATTATTAATAAAAAGGTGAACTATACTATCCCAATAAGAATATCACACTAATCACTTATACGGAAAATCGAAGGTTGGTAAAAATTACAAAAGAACTAATGGAATCCTTGATTTAAATAAATACTTTTAACTTTAAAATGTTTTATTTCATACTTACCATGTCAGGTTTTTTTGAAAACAATCTATGAAGACAAATTGCCAAGTAACATTTTAATTTCAATATAAAATCAGTAATTTTTCCTTTAACCTACTTACTGGGACTCTTGGGGGTCTATAAGGATATCTCTCTACTTGTGAACCTAATATCTACATTTAACAACTAATTCAACCGTTCTCATACCCTGTCTGGTATAAGGATAAATTATATCTCTCAAAACTCTTCCGGTATGAGATTTCTTAGTCTCGTTCGATTGAGGTAATGTCCACGGTAGAGTTCCTTATGTATCAAGTTCGTCCACCCTTTCTCAAGTACCCATTAAGCTTTTGTTTATATATATCCTTATCGTCCAAACAACCATCAAACGCATATTAACCTCTCATTATATATTCACAGTTTAATTTAAACAACATCTAAGTGAGAGGTATAGTTTAATATAATCGAATAATCAAGTAATTAGATAACCAAATAAATAATCCAGGAGTAACCAAATAAACTAAATAATCGAGAAGATCAGAAAACTATCAATTTAATACGCACAATAAAATAGTAAATAATTTAAGCAGTATAGAAAATAAACAGGGAATCATGACAAATATGAACTAATCAATTCTAGCTCCACTAATGACCTGTAATTATTTTTAGTTTTTTTTTTAATTTTCATAAAACATAAAATTATCGATTATCAATCCTCAATTTACCATAACAGAAAATAGGGTGAAAGATCCTTACTGAAATCATTGTTTTGGAATGTTGTACTACTCACTACGCCTCCTGACAGGGCTTGGGTTTCCTAAATTTTTTTTACAAAAATTAAAATACTTGTCACGTAGCCAAAAATTCAAAATCGATGTCGAAAATATTTTTCGGCTAATTTTAGGGTTCCAGTACGGCGGCGGCATCATACTCTAACACCGACTCGCCGGCCACAATAGTGATTCATCTCAATCTGGCAGATTTTAGCCAGTTTTACACATATTCATGCGAAAAACACATTAGGAACCCCCGGTTGGTAAAAAAAAAAACTAAAAAACCGAACCTACCGACAAAGAGAGTCTCTGGGTGCGGCAGCTCTGCTGGTTCTCCTTCACCGCTGGGGTTTCTTCTTCGGCTAACATACACAAAAAGGAATGGTGAACACAATGTAAAAAAATCGTGTGGAACAAGAAACGGAAAGGGAATCATTGGAGGGGGTTTAG